TCCCGGTGGTCCCATTGGTGTCCTGGTTGCCCCATTGGTGTCCTGGTTGCCCCATTGCTGTCCCCACCGGTGTCCCCTTGGTGTGTCCTCCCAGGGGCAGTGGCCCCATTGGTGTCCTGGTTGCCCCATTGGTGTCCTGGTGGCCCCAGCAGTGTCCTGGTGGCCCCAGCAGTGTCCTGGTGGCCCCACTGGTGTCCTGGTTGCCCCACTGGTGTCCCCACCGGTGTCCCCTTGTTGTGTCCCCCCAGGGGCGGTGGCCCCAGCAGTGTCCTGGTGACCCCAGCAGTGTCCTGGTTGCCCCACTGGTGTCCTGGTTGCCCCACTGGTGTCCCCACCGGTGTCCCCTTGTTGTGTCCCCCCAGGGGCAGTGGCCCCAGCAGTGTCCTGGTGGCCCCGTTGTTGTCCTGGTGGCCCCACTGGTGTCCTGGTGGCCCCATTGCTGTCCTGGTGACCCCAGCAGTGTCCTGGTGGCCCCATTGCTGTCCTGGTGACCCCAGCAGTGTCCTGGTGGCCCCATTGCTGTCCTGGTGACCCCAGCAGTGTCCTGGTGACCCCAGCAGTGTCCTGGTGGCCCCATTGCTGTCCTGGTGACCCCAGCAGTGTCCTGGTGACCCCAGCAGTGTCCTGGTGGCCCCATTGGTGTCCTGGTTGCCCCACCGGTGTCCCGTTGGTGTGTCCCCCCAGGGGCGGTGGCGGTGGCCGAGTTCATCGCCGAGAGCCCGCGGCTGCTGCGCCTGGACCTGCGGGAGAACGAGATCAAGACGGGCGGGCTCATGGCCCTGTCCCTCGCCCTCAAGGTCAACCACTCCCTGCTGCGCCTCGACCTCGACCGCGAGCCCAAGAAGGAGTCGGTGGGTGCCGGAATTCCGGAGCCTCCCGGGCCTGGGAAACATTCCAAGGCCCGGCTCCATCCTGTTGTTCCTTCCACAACCTTCCATTTATTTTTTTGGGAGGGTGGGATCTTGTTGAATCTTGTTGAATCCCACCCCACTCCAAGCAGGAAAACGTTGTCCCTGGAGGGGGAATCCTCTCCCTCAGCTCCGGGGCTTTCCCGGTTTTTGGATGGAGTTGGTCCCGCCCGGGGTTTGATCCCGGATTTTGGGCAGGGTGGGAAAATCCGGCTCCTTCCCGACTGAGCTGCGGGGGGGGCTCCTTTCCCGATCCCCCCTGTTCCCATTCCCGCTCTTCCGAGCGCAGAGCATCCCCTGGGATGGGAATCCCTGGGAGTAGATGGAACAGGGAGAATCCCTTGGGAAACTTGGGTTGTTCCTTCCTCAACCTCATCTTGAGGAACCCTCAAGGATGGAATTCCTGCTCCTCCGAGTGCGGAGCATCCCTTGGGATGGGAATCCCTGGTAGTAGATGGAAGAGGGAGAATCCTTTGGGAAACTCCATCCTTGGGTTGTTCCTTCCCCAACCACGTCTTGAGGAACCCTCAAGGATGGAATTCCTGCTCCTCGGAGCGTGGAGCATCCCTTGGGATGGGAGAGGGAGAATCCCTTGGGAAACTTGGGTTGTTCCTTCACCAACCACATCTTGAGGAACCCTCAAGGATCAAATTCCTGCTCCTTGGAGTGCGGAGCATCCCCTGGGATGGGAATCCCCGGGAGTAGATGGAACTGGGAGAATCCCTTGGGAAACTTGGGTTGTTCCTTCCTCAACCGTGTCTTGAGGATCCCTTGGGATGGAAGAGGGAGAATCCCTTGGGAAACTCCATCCTTGGGTTGTTCCTTCCTCAGCCACCCCCAAGGATCCAAGGGGTGGGAGCTCAAATCCCTCAGGGATCGGAGCGGGAATCCTCCCCTCCACCAGGGAAAACAGAACCCCGGAGCATTCCCAACCATCCCAAAGCTTCCTCTTCCCGGCTTTTCCCAGGTGAAGAGCTTCATCGAGACCCAGAAGGCCCTTCTGGCCGAGATCCAGAACGGCTGCAAGCGGAACTTCATCCTGGCCAAGGAGAAGGAGGAGCAGGAGCAGCAGCTGCAGCACTCGGCCTCCATGCCCGAGATCACCGTCACCGAGCCCCCGCAGGACGATCCCGACGCCGATCCAACCGCGGAAAACCGGGATGGCGGCGCCCAGGAGGATCCACGGGATCAGGAGGATGCAGAGGAGGAGGAGGAGGAGGAGGAGGAGGAGGCCCTGGCGGCCGAGGAGAACGGGGGGGACGCTCAGGCGGGCGGGGAGGACGCGGGGGACGTTTCGGACTCCAGCTCGGACACGGACGAGGACCCCGATCCCGAGGACTCGCGGGAAGGACCCCCCCCTCCGTGCCCGGAGCGGCCGCCGGATCGGCCCTTCCCGACGCCCCTTCCCCGGGAAGCTCCGGCCGCTCCCGACTCCTCCTCGCCGGGTCACCAGAGGAGGATCTCGGTGTCCAGCCCCGGCAGAGGCCACAAGGTTTTCGTGGTGACGCGCGTGGAGCCCGTTCCGGAGGCGGGAGGAGACGCCGGGAGCCGCGTCCCGGCCCCTCCGGAGAACGGGGCCGTTCCCGAGGGCTCCGAGGGCTCCGAGCCGGGATCGTCCTGCGGGAGCCCGGCCCGGGACACTCCTCTGCTCAACGGGCTCAAGACGGATTTCGCGCGGGCGCTGCCGGAGGTGGCCTCGGAAAACGACGGGAAAATCGGGAGCTGCGGCGCCGAGCACGGTGAGGGGGGGGGAGATCCCCCCAATTCCTGGGGGATCTGAACCCTGAGACCCCAAATTCCTGAGGGATCTGAGCCCTGAGACCCCCAATTCCTGAGGGATCCAAGTCCTGAGACACACACCCCCCCCCAAAATTCCTGAGGGATCTGAGCCCTGAGACCCCAAATTCCTGAGGGATCCAAGTCCTGAGACCCCAAATTCCTGAGGGATCCAAGTCCTGAGACCCCCAATTCCTGAGGGATCCGAGCCCTGAGACCCTCCCCCCCAATTCCTGAGGGATCTGAGCCCTGAGACCCCAATTCCTGAGGGATCCAATTCCTGAGGGATCTGAGCCCTGAGACCCCAAATTCCTGGGGGATCTGAGCCCTGAGACCCCCAATTCCTGAGGATTCGAATTCCTGAGGGATCTGAGCCCTGAGACCCCAATTCCTGAGGGATCCAGTTCCTGAGGGGGCCGAGACTCCCAAATCCTGGGGGATCCGAGCTGTGAGACCCCAATTCCTGAGGGATCCAATTCCTGAGGGTTCCGAGTTTCGCCCCCCCCCCCAATTCCCAAGGGTTCCAAGTTTTTTTCCTGGGATGAGTTTGAACCCAAAGGGAATCTCCCAGAGCTTTTCCCAAGGGAATTGGAATCCAAGACAAATCTCCCAGAGCTTTTCCTGAGGGAATTGGAATCCAAGATAAATCTCCCAGAGCTTTTCCTGAGGGAATAGTCTTCCAAGGATCTCATGGAACCCCTTCATTATCGTCCCCCCGGGGTGGGAAAAGCTGGGAATGAGGCAGGGAAAAGGCGGGAAAAGCTGGGAACAAGGCTGGGAAAAAGGTGGGAATGTGACTGGGAAAAGATGGGAATGTGGCTGGGAAAGGCAGGAAAAGCTGGGAACGAGGCTGGGAAAAGGCAGGAATGCGACTGGAAAAGGCAGGAAAATCTGGGAACGAGGCTGGGAAAAGGCGGGAATGCAGCTGAGAAAGGCAGGAAAAGGTGGGAACGAGGCTGGGAAAGGCAGGAAAATCCAGGAACGGGGCTGGAAAAGGCGGGAAAAGCTGGGAACGGGGCTGGAAAAGGCAGGAAAATGCGGGACTGACGCCGTATCCGTGTTTCCCGGCAGAGCTGAGCTGCTCCAAGGACGAGCAGGAGCTGGAGGAGCTGCTCCTGGAAGCCAGTCGGGATTCGGGGCAGGAGCTGCTCTGAGCGCAGGTGAGCGGGAACCCGGGTGGGAAAACCCCGGGAATTCCAGCCGGGAATGCCCCGGGCCGCTCCCTGCCATTCCTCCCACAGGTCCTCTCCGGGATCTCCGGCCTTTTCCCCCTCACAATTCCCG